AGAAGCCGGGAAACAGAATGGCGAGAAGTTTCGCGAAACGAAACTCGTGGCAGTTCTTTGGAAGAGGTCGACTGACGCTGACAAGGAATTGAAGTGCGGAAAAGAGTGGGCGATTTCGCCACTCCGGGAGTGAAAGACGAAGAAAACACGAGGAGAAGCCAAGCAATCAACGTGCTCAACGTGGGAAAAACACCAGGACACCGCGCCCTGGAAAGCAGCGGAAGACCCAGTCGTCGAGTGACGGCTGACGAGGAGAAGGACAGCGAAGAAGGACAGAGGATTTGTGGACAACAGTGGTGCCGGCCCAGGACCAGCGGCGGAGCCCCAACAGTTTACACGCGGAATCCTCACGTGTGTGTGTGTGTGTGTGCGGGAGCGAGACGGGTGAGTGCCAAAATCCGTGAGACCGCAACGAGTGGCCAGCGAAAACAAGTCTGGCCCAAAAGGTGCAGTATGTGCGCTTAGAAATCTCGGCAGGCCTCGATGCGGTATCGCTTAATAGAATCCGGCTATATCAGCCATAACCCTTGCTTAAATAAAATACCCAACACATGTAACCCTAATGGGACTGAAAACCTAACCTCAAAACGACAAATGCGAAACATAAAACACTGTCCAAGCCAAACATGAAGAGCTCACATCCCAAATACGATGTATACATTGAAATAAAACTAGAATACCACGAAAAACCTTATATATATATTTTGTCAAAGCAAATCTTTTAAAGAAAACTGATCAAGATCCTAATAAACAGCAAAGATTTAACTTGAAGCCTAGAAATCCCACTATATTTTCTTGCCCATACTTGAACCGCCTCGAAATGCCCTCCAACGGTACCACCCCCGATTTATTTAACCAGATATTTTGTCAGAGGTCAGGCTCAGCCGACCGCATAACTTATTCCGACAGCGAGTGCTGGCGGCTCTTCATGTAAGGCAGCCACATGGCCTAGAATTGCCAGGCGTCCCCTAATCGATTCCCTCTCGGTCTCCTCGTGGCGAGTGCCGCGAGCCAGACCCAGTACGCGCTACCGCCGAACCCCCCCTTCTTTTTTGTTGATGCCCAAATCAAATCGAAACGGTGTTTTATACGATAACCCGGTGGCTGACACACTACATCTCACGTCAGCCCACCGCTCATCGAAGACCCTAGTCTCAATCTTTATAAATTTGTCTGTAAAGAGATCCTGGCGTGACCGAGCTTCACCCCAGCCTAAGAAACTACTTCACAAAAGGAAATGGGAAAAAAAAGGCCGAGAACAAAAAAAAAAAAGGACCCCAGTTTTTTAAATAGAAAAAAATTTTTAATTTAAAAAAAAAAAAAAAAAAAAAAAAATCAGGGTTTAAATGGTATTGCCTGTACTGAATACATTTTCATATGGATTGTAATGATTAAGTTTAATACGAGTTTCGAAATCAAGCAGGTTAAATAAATTAATTTAAACTGAATTTACTTGGTGTTATTCTTCAGATCGCTTAAATTGAGTAAATCATCTTTTATTCCAAAAAAATCGAAAGCCAACACTTTAAATTGTATACTAAAATGCCAGGATGTTGTAAAAATGTTCAATGTCGTCGAATCGAATTTTCATTCTTTCGGGAAAAAAAAAAATTTTAAATTTTTAAAAAAAAAAAAACCTTTTCCCCCAAAAAAAAAAAAAAAAAAAAAAAAAAAAAAAAAAAAAAAAAAAAAAAAATTTTTGTTTGATTGTGGGATTTGGTAGGAAAAAAAAACAACCCCCGACCGACCAAAAAAAAAAAAAACCCATTGTTTGTCGATGAAGCTGTTGGTTTTGGCTGGTGGTCTCGCATTTTACACACATTTTAAGTGTTGTTAGCCGGTTGTTATTGTGAGCCAGTCGGTGGGCCATTGGCCGATGTATTAGTAGCCCCGAAAGCGGACGTGCCATTAAATGTTGTTCCCGCATACGTATATGTTTGTACGTGTGGCTTTTCTAATATGGGCGATGGGTTCTCGGGAGGAGGGATCAGCCCGCCAGCTGCCGCAGACAGAGACAAATGTGTGGGGGGAGGACCCAGCCTCCAGCCTCCTGTTACCACCACCACTTCCCCGTTATAGGCACTGAAAATTGGTTTAATGTTTTTTCCGTGCGTCGACCGACCGTTTTTGGCCAACACAGCAGGCAGTCAACAAAGTCAAATGTTGACGTTGTTAATGATGTGCGGGGCGGAGCAGAGGGCCGACTCGACCAGGATGGGTTGGCGGGCAGTGGGTCATGAAAGCGGATTTCGGAGCACCCAAACAACTGAGCAGCCGGAGCACACACTGCAGTGGATTCGGCGGCGAGAGAGCGATTCAGTTAGTTAGTTAACTAGGCATTAGTGTAGCCCATTGACACCCTCGTAGATAGCGTCTTAAGTGCCAATGCCTTGCTGAGATTGGAAATTCGAGGAATAAGCACGCGTAAATGTTTACTATTTTATGCAGGGGTCGACATCCTTTCATTGCTACAGCTCGATACATGAATTTTTCTTAAGGAAGGTCAAATCTCCCGATGAAGTTAATCAGTAAAATCGATTTAATACTAAATGTATTTTGTAAAACCTATATTTTAATTTATTATACCAAAATTTTTTTCGAATTTGTCTCTATAAGTCTTATAAACAGTATCGAATGCCAATGGTAAGATAGTTTATAAACGCCACGAGTTATTCATTAAAAACCTATAACATATTTCTCATTTTACATCATTAAACCAAAATAATATATTTCCAAGTGCTATATTTTAACCTTCTATATTAATGTCCCTGAGAATTAAATAAGCTGAATATTATCATCGTAATAAACTCCACTGCTATTATTTCCAACTTCTTAATTCCTGATTCCGGCATAAATCAGGGTAAAATATTTCCTTTGGCGCTTTACGTGATTCGCGTGACGACAGCGTAAATATTTCTATCACGATCTCATCGCAGTCGAGCGTTTCAGGCGGTGCAAATCATTAGCATAAATTCCTTAACTTGGCAGCGCCGGTCGCTTGAGTTTCTCCTTTTCCAGGGAACAACATGTCTGTCGGCTTCCTGTCGCCGATGAGCTCCACTCTCCGAAAGGAGCACGGCGAAGGATTACAACATCCGCAGTGCAGTTCCCGGGCGGGCAGGATGTTTTCCACCGCCAGGTTGCAGGCTAGCAGCGGCGGAAGCTGAAACGCTGATATGACTTCGGCTTTTGATGAGATTTACACCCTTTGACTCCAGTTCGTTATAAACTGGAGGCATGCAGCTTGCCGGTGGCAGGCAATTTGTTCCCGGCTGCCTTTTATCCTTTATCAACGGGGGTTACGCGCCCATTTAAGACGGATTTTCAACGGGTACTTAATTGAAAAAAAAATTCTTCGAAGGCTTAACTTAGCTTCATATTAATTTCTAGTTATTATTAGGTCCGAAATATAAATAATTTACCTGTAGTGCGATTAAAAAATATTTATAGCGAATAAATATAAAACAATGTAAAAAGTCACAAAACATTAAACTTTGTGCAGATTTACTGGTCGATCCCAAGAAAACATTGAACTAGAAACTAAACCAATCACTGCCAAAGTAGCAAACTCCGCCCGATTATTTCAATTAACTTTCACGCTGGTCAAACAAAACTTTCCGAGGACGACAAACGAGGAGACTAACTGCGAGGGACGTCGGGCAATCCGGGGACTCCCGCCATGGAGAATACTTTCTTGCTCGCTTGGCTGCCCTGGCACGGCGAAAAAGTTTCAAATCAATTTTACGTACATGAATGAAACATGAACGTGCATGCTTTGTGAAGCAATTTATAGCAACACACAGCCACAAACAAACAGGCTATCGCATCCTATCCCCCGACTTACCGACCAACCCGACTTGCCTCGGATCGCAAGCGGAAATCCATTGTAGAAAACTTGTGAAATGGCAGAACAATGAGACAAAAAGAGGGTTCGTGGTTCACTTCAAGGCAGGGCGTACCGCACAACAGCAAAAAAAAACCCCATCCCCCCTAACACCTCTCGCCAGTTCCAGTTCTCTAGTGTGTATTACAACAGCCAGCATATGAATTTAGTATTGAATTTAAATGCAAATTGCGTTTGCATGCAAAGCGTGTAGAAAAATAGACAAGCCGAACTTCGTGGCGAGAAGGGTGCTGTGGGGTGGGGGTGGGGGTGTAGGTTTTAAGGGGGCTGGCAGGTGCCAACAGTTGTTATTCCACAGTCTGACCTACAGAGCATCCACTTCACCTTTAAATCCTAACCCTCTAACACTTGCAAATGCCAGCCTCTATGCATACTAAAAACAGGAATATTTGATCAATTTATTTGTGGTTATTTTTACCTAAACGAGTCTCTGGGTCTTTCCCTCGTCTCTGTTTTATTTTATGTTATAAACTTAGAATGCTTTCTAAAAATATTTGGGAAAATGACTACTTATTAATGCGATTTTGACAAATTTAAATTGTAATACTTTTCGAAATCGTTACTTACAAAATTTAATTTGAACTTTATGGGAATTAAATTACTACCGAATTATATACTACAAAAAATAACATTACATTTTTTAATAGGTTAGTGTAAAAGCATAAAATGTAGTATTAAATTTCCTATCGACCCATACCATTTACATTAAGTTTCCAGACTCTTTCAATCAACAAATAAAATCTCTTTCCCTTAATGGCAAGAATGTCCTCGATGGCAGGGATAAACCATTATGACGTACGGGCAGAGCCATTTCCATATAACGAAGGAGGAACTTTTGCCGCACCCATAGCACTGCCAGTAGATCTGGCCAAACCCTCAGAAACTGGCAAAGTTTACGGCCAATTTACAAAGCCCTGCGCCGGAGTGAAATGCAGAGTGTATAAAAAGTTGCCATTGCAGGCAGGTCGTGCGAATGCCAGCAACTCGCTGACAATGCGTATGCATCTGGTGGAGGTAGGATTGCTGCGGGGGGGTGGGGAGGATCCTGGAGCCAGGACTTGGGGGGAAATGGAGCGGACAGGGCTGCCTTACTCACCTATGACATTCAGGCGGAATGCCATCGAAATCTTTGGCTCCGTATTCACTTGGCATTCGTAGATGCCGCTGTCACGTGGCTGGGCATATTTCACATGCAATGTCCAGTCCTTGGAGTCGGCGGTCCGCACCACCTGCTCGGGTTAGAGGGAGACGGTTGCACAGAGCGGGAAGGAGACAGAGACAGAGAGATAGAGCGGGTGAAACAGGATGCCAAGATAAATCGTCGCTGGGGTGTGGGTGTGTGGGCCCGAGTCCTTGGCAAATTTAATCAATGCATACAAGTTGCTTGGCCCGAATTGCATACGCAATTAAGATGACTTTGCTTACAAGCCCGCCGGACATTTAATAAGCTACCTGGGCCAAACGTGGAGATTGCGAAGGGGACGATAACTTTGGCCCAGATTACGTATACGCACCTTGAAACGCTCATCAGATGTGTAGGTCAAAATGCCTGCAGTCAGAATGTGCAAATCGCGTTTTCTTATCCAGGATACCTGCAATAGAATCAAAAAAAGGGACACCAAATGCTGTTAGTGCCAGTGCTTAAGTCAATTTTAAACAAGAAAGGAAGCTAGCTTCGGCCAGCCGAAGCTTATATACCCTTGCAGATCATTCCTATTAATTAACAAATTCCTATTAATATCCTAGAGTAGAAGATAATACAATAAAAACCAAAGAAGCTAGAATTTATTTCCTATTACTTTTCCATTAATTTTCCGATCATTCCTATGGCAGCTATATGATATAGTAGTCCGATTTTTAAAATAATTAATTCGAAATTCAGAAATATTTAAAAAATAACATCCCCAAAAGTAGAAGGTAATATTTCAAAAAACACCGAAGCTAGAATTTTTTAAAGTTTTTTTTATCCGATCCTTCCTATGGGAGCTATAAGATATAGTTGTCCGATCCGGTTCCGACATATATACTACCTGCAATAGAAAGAAGACTTTTGCGAAAGTTTCGTTCCGATAGCTCAAAAACTGAGAGACTAGTTTGCGTAGAAACAGACAGACGGACAGACGGACAGACGGTCAGACGGACAGACGGACAGACGGACGGACAGACGGACAGACGGACGGACAGACGGACAGACGGACATGGCTAGATCGACTCGTCTTGTGATGCTGATCAAGAATATATATACTTTATGGGGTCGGAAACGTCTCCTTCACTGCGTTGCAAACTTCTGACTGAAATCATAATACCCTCTGCAAGGGTATAAAAATTGCCTCCGGTCCTGCCACTTGGCTGCTTAGGAACTCGTTCGTCGAGAGCTCCGAGTCCCAAGTATAGATACGAAAATTTAATAAACCAAGCGGCAAAATGAACTAAGCAGCCAACTCTTAAACCTGCTGAAGGTTACTGCAAATACAGTGGGTCCTGGCAAAAGTGAAAAGATGTCACCTTACTTTTCAAACCTGATTACAAATTTAAAGAGTGCCTGAGAAAAAGCCATTCCTTTTTCGGGGAATTTAATCGGATCCGATATTCAACTGAAATCGATTGCATAAGACAATCACATCGAACTGAGGCATTAACTCCCCAATGGTTAAAAAAAGTTAACGATCTTAACTTAAAGTAGATTTCACCGTATCTTATGCCAAGTACATTTTTTATATTCAGTCAGCGCGAGAAGCACGAAAAAGGAGCAGATGGGGAAGAAAAATGGAGACAAGTGCGTGCCCAAAATGTCAGCAGCTTAAAGTTGCCAAAAGCCCCGCAAAATACCAGGCGAATTGAAAGGAATCCTGCCGCTACTGCAGCAGGCAAAAAGTAATCTCCCAGACGGCCGCGGGCAAACAAAACTTTTCGGAGCCCCAAAAGACGCAGAACAAAAAATGGCAGGGGGAAAGGCGAGAAAAACCAGGCAAAATATAAACGAAACTAAAAGTGTCAAAGTGGCGAAAGGGAACAGCATCTCAGACGAGCTCGCGGGAAATAGATGGACCCACAAGGTGGGCGATAGTAAATCTGGATCAGAACACGCTGCTAGTGAGCAGGAGATGGATGGTGATTGCGAAGGATGGTGAGCTCGGACTTGAAAGTGGCGGAATCCAAAAAAACTCTCGGAAAAATAAAACTCAAGGAAACGAGATTAATACTAAAACAAACACCTACCAAATTTTCCTTAATAATCCAAAACATCTTTAATATTTTCGTTACAAACATGCTTAAACTTAAAACAAATAAAAAATAAAATCGTACAAAACCTCTAACCTGCTTCGAGTTTCTTAAGAAAATAAATCTACTTTATTTCCTTATTTTTGAAAATTTATGAACCATTTTAAATCTTAAAGGGGCTTTCGTCACTAGTTTCCAAACTTGCTTAGAGATTTTTCGGTCAGATTTAATTAAGTACAGGACAGACTTATACAAACTCGAACACAATATACCCTGGAATTTGAAGGGAACGTGTATATTAAACTCAAAGAAAAAGAAAATAGGGGAAGTGAAGGAAAACAAAACGAGTTCGCAAAGTAAACTCGGCATTGGTCAAAGGGCAGACTGGAGGGTTTGAAGGCGGAACGCACAAACTTTGTCATTGAACCGGCAAAACAAGGGTGGCTGAGAACCGAGAGATGGCGACGAAAGCGATGGAAAGACGTTGCTCGGAAAACTGCATGGAAAAAGTTAGCGCTAACTTGATTTTCAGCTTGACTGACGATCCAAATATTTTCCTTAAAAATGCATTAAAATGAAAATCCGCCAGAGAAAAATCTATTCAATGATAAGCTGGTAAATGCAATCACTTGACTCACTCACCGATTTATCTCCCAGATTGTCGACGCGGCAGTTGATGGCCGCTGTGTGTCCCGTCCTGGTCGTAATGTTCCTGGGCATTCCGAAGTCAAAGAGGGGCGGCGGATAGGTGGTCTCATCTGGCTGCTGCTCCTCGGCCTCCTGGTCGTCGTCCAGGGAATTTCCGAACTGGGGAAACTTGCTATTGACCGATGCAATGTAAACGTAATCATTATCAACGCTCGATGGCGCGGAAACTATGGGCAACAGGTTGTTATTGCTGTCCACGATATTAGCTGAAGAGAAAAAGCGAGAAAAGGTGCTTAGAAACATAAATAAACATGGTAGTAAAAAACATTAATAGCTTAATTTATAGGTCTACAAAATTCCATTCTTCATGTGCCTTGAATTCTCAACCACTAATCCATTCGTATTACATATTGTGATTCCAGTTTCACAACTACTCTTTTCAACACAAAGTGGCAAATAAGCTATGGCCAAAAAATAAAGATAAATATAAACCGTTTACAGAACCACGCAAAACTACTTTTTCAACTTATACTTTAAAGGGTCGGGTCAAAAAAGGGATAGAAGAACGACCCTTATTGTCTGGACAGCGGAAAGGAATAGTTCAAAAGGGAGAACATTAATTAAATGCCACTCAATGCTCAGTGAAAATGTTCTCTTCCTCAGAGCCAGGAACTATATTACTGAGCTGTGCACAAGTGGGTGTGCACACTCGAATTTATTTCAAAAATTCACGATGACATACCATTTTACGGCTCGTTAAAATGTAAGGACAAAAAGCGGGAGAGCAATTAAACTAAAACAATGGGGATATTTCCCATAATAATTATATATCACACATGGCAAGCAATAAAACGATTTCCGTACTAGTTGAAGTCAGAGGACGCAGCTGAACAATGGAAATAGTTTTTAATTAAAACAAACGCTTGCTTTTAATGCCTTAAATGATTTCTCTGGAGAAACCCACCAAAAACCATGAAGCGAAATCATCAAAGCCAAACATAAAACTCATTTCCCCTTGTTGATGAGCTCAGGAAGAGAGCACTTAGGAATCCCGACCAATAAAAAAAACGAAAAGAGCAGTTAAAACCTATCATATTTCTCCGGCCAAACGAGCCGATTCAACTTTGAGGATACTTATGTATGTGAGTTCATGACACCTGTATTCAAACTTATGCTGTTTCAGTACTCTCATTGCCAAACCGCAACGTGCTCGGTTCAGCAAAGTTCAAAGTTCGCCCCGACAAACGCGTATAAATTATAAATCACTCAGCAGCAGCAACTATGCAGCGCACTGCGTCACGGACTATCTTCATTCCCCGTGAACTGCAATCCACACCTCACGTGCGGCACACCCATGCATTCGCACCTCGTGGCGAAGAGCGAAAAATCATGTTTTCTGCATTTGAATTTATTTGACATTTTAATGAGCGCATAATGGCGACGCGACTCGCTTGCTGATAATGGCCATGTAGTCGACGGCTCGCAAACTGGCAAAAGCTGACTTCCACCCACCACATATAGCATATACCATCCACCTCCACATCCACATCCTAGTCCACTTCCTCCTGTCAGTCACTGCTTCCAATCTCTAACTGGGTCACTCACTTTTGCCGGCTGCACTTGAATCTTTTAGGCCATTGGGGTGGCACTTGTGCATGTTAGACACAAAAATCTAAATTATTTAAGTGCCCACCCCCCACACAGGCACACCCATGCATGCATATGTGAGGGAGGGGGCGAAATAGCCACATGCAGATACAGCGATTTACAGTGGGCCACAGGTCAGTGGTATCCATTTGTCTTATTAAAAGAAACCCATTAGCCAAGGCTGTTGTATTCAATTTTAATCATATTTATTCAAATAACCCGCCACCTAATTCTAGGATTTGCCTGATAAAAATAAAATAAATATTACACCCAAAAAAACTTGATATGAAACGATGGTCAATTTGATATTATGTGGTATCAATTTTGACTTAATATGCGGCATATTAAGTCGATATGCTCCCACTATTTTAGAATTGAGAGAATTAGCTCTTGCTCCCACTCACGTAATATAAGTGAATATGCATAGCTCTTTTTTTCCGATGCCTAAAAAATTATTTAGGGTGTTCAATTGCGTTGCAAACTTTGTAAAGTGTAAAAGTGTAAATCAATTCCAACAACAATTTCTATACAAAATAGTTTTAAAGGCCTACTTTTGAAAACTATTTTGTATAGAAATTGTTGTTGGAATTGATTTACACTTTTACACTTTACAAAGTTTGCAACGCAATTGAACACCCTAATTGTATTATTTTAAATGAATACAAAAACCGAAAAAGACGTAATTATTATAATGGAAATGAAAAGAAAGTTTCATTCGGACAATGCTCACTGTAAAATATGCGGCAAAAGAACTCTCCGCTTTTATGGAAAAGTAGTCTAAACATGGAAAAAAACTGGCAAAAAATAAAACTAGAAACGAAATGCCAAAGTGAGTGCAGCACTTTTTGCAGCTGCAGCCTGCGCTCCTTTCTTCTCTTGTTGCTGTTGTTTTTTCTTGCTGTTGTTGCAGTCCTGTACACACACACAGATACACTTTCAGTTTTGGCATCATTTAGATGCTCGTGGAGCAACTGATGCAAATTTAATTTGGACACCTCGCAAAAAAAGCGGCGCATGCGAGTGCCTCTAAAGAGGGGGCAAAAGCGAAAAAAGAGGTGCCCAGGATGAGTTCGGGTGGGAATCGGGACGGGGACTGGGGATGGGGCAACTATCTGGTGGCATAACTTGCACTTGAGTGTGTGTGAACTGCAACTAATGATGTTGCAGGCACTCGCATGCGGCTTTTTGATTTAACGATCGAGCGCAGTTCGCGTTTTTTCCAACTCTTTGTGTTGATTCCCCCAAAAATGTTGAGTTCAGTAGCGGAGGAGCTTAATGGCTCGGTTTGGTTGGTTACCCGCACCCGATTGCTGCGGTTGATGGCCGCCGTCCTCTCGTTTTTTCCACGCTGCTGTCATAAACTTCATGCTTTGTTTCCGACAAGGTATATTTTTATTCGCTTTAACTGCTGCGAAAATACCAACAGCAGGCAAAAAGTATTTCACCTCCTAAGAGGGGTCATAAAAGACAAATAAAGCCTTCAGTCAACCAACAAAAAAAAGGCGTTGATTGTCCCTGAAATCGATCTTCTGCAGACGGAAAATCGGCTTTTCTTTTGAGTGCTAAGATTAATTTGGCGCCCCTAAGTTAGAGACGATTTTACTTCTCGGCTTTAGTGTAAATATTTAAGCCGATTTTACGCTGACAAGATTTTCGTGATAATAGACAGAATATTTTCAAAGGTGCACCAGACTGCGTATAATAGTGTCATTATTGCCCATTGAAAAGAGAAACATTTTGTAGTTGAACAAAAACCAATGGTGACACAGGGCAAAAGGATAACAATTTTACTTATTTAAAAAATATTTCGGTATAACGTAAAATAGTATACAATTATACAAATTAAACATTCTATAAGTAAAGATACAAAATATCTTAGTTCCTCATCCCTTCAAAAACTATATGGTTTTTTCGAGGGCAACATCTGATTAAATCTTAAAATCTTTAACTTCGAATAAACCCAAGCAAAAGCCCTTTAGCACTTGGCTTTAAACACTTTAAACACATTTTCCTCGGGGGAGTTGCTAAAAAAAGAAAAGGGCTTTTGAAAAATTCAATAAGCAGCCCGTTCTATCAATGTCCTCGAGGAGGTTTCTAGTTGTCTGTCTGTGCCGTCGTCACTGGCGAGTGGGTGTGTGGGGAATATTTATTAAAATCGTTGTTCACAATTTTTATTTAGCATATCAAAAGGCGTCCGTGGGCTGTTTCCCAACATTCTTGTGCGGAAACATGTCCCAGAGGTTTTCCATTTATTTTTCTTGCTCCCTTCTTTGGATATATTTGTTTAAGCGGAGTATCATTTCGCCACCGGCCAGCCAAACATATTTGCGGCTTAGGCCCATTGAAGTTGACGGTGGCCAAAGCAAATGGGCCTGCGGCCAGGGAATCTCTGCTAAATGGACACAGCCGAGATGGCCCAAGATTGTACGGCCTGCCTAGAATACCGCATACATACTGCATAAAACATCCGCTCGCGACATTCAGTCGCTTGGTGGACTGTGCAACGTGTTGAAGTTGAAAGTGCACCATCGCCAAAGGCTGTTGGCAAATGTCTCGCTCTCATGAATTTCTATGTGGCAGGAAGATTAATGTCCTCAGTTCTCACAGACAGCTCCTGCAAAGGCGTCGAAAGAACATAATGGCTCATGGAGGCAAAGTGGAGCGTTACTTCACAAATGGCCAATGGCTATTAATTGCCAAGAGTTATAGGTTCACTTGAAAATTTAGTTTTATGTTTCTAAAAAAATCTAAGACAAGTTTTAAAATTTGATAGGCATTTTGAAAAATCATCCAAACATTTTATATTTTGATTGAAATTGCTAAAAACAAATAAGTAATATTGGTAATATTAATTTTAAGGGTCTTATGTAAACATCGGGATCAAACGATTTTTATATTCTGGTCGGAGCATTTACCAAAGAGTATATTGTATTCGAGGAAATGTATGTAACAGGGGAGAAGAAAGCTTTTGCGACCTTATAAAGTATATATCTATTCCATTTCCGTCTGTCTGTCTGTCCGCATAAACCGTTGGATCTCTGAAACTACAAATACTAGAAAGTTGGGATTAACCACACATATTCTTGGGCTTCCTACGGAACGCAACTTTGTTTAAACTGAGCGCTACGCCAAATTTTTAAAGATTTCGGAAAAGTATAAGTTTAATTTTGTTGTGTTTGTTGTAGAAATGTTGAAGAAATTTATTAAATCTGACTATTCATTTAAGCGTTATGAGCGAACAACGGAACTCAAGCAATGTAAGCAGTCGCTTTGCTGCATGCAAATCTCCATCTTCCTTGCACTTCCTTTAGCTGAGTAACGGGTATCTGATAGTCGAAGTACTCGACTATAGAGTTCTCTCTTGTTATACCCTTTACTCGAAGAGTAGAAGGGTATATTGTATTCGTGCAAAAGTATGTAACAGGAAGAAGGAAACTTTCCGACCCCATAAAGTATATATGGACACTTCCAAAAAAAAGTCCACCAAGCCAAAAACCTTGAAACTTGAATAAAACATATTTCCACATGATTTTGCCCCGATATTAGTTTCTAATTACAAATTTGGAGTATAGTTTGATTATTTTTATGACAAACCCGACCAATATACGCAAAAATCAGT